TTTCTTGTATTTAGTCACAAAAATAAACAAGAAAAGTGTTTTGAAAAAGAAAAATAAAACAAGTGGTAGCTTCTGCTCACTTGGCTGATTAAAACCAGTATTGTTTTTAAGGAAAGTGTATAGACTTTATTATCATAAAAACAAAAAGTCTTTGAAGAACGTTTGTTTTTTGGGTTGGCAAAAGAATCAGTGAAAAGAGTTTTACTAAAAGTGTTTATGATAATAGGATAGGTAGCTATATATAATTAATTTTTATTATAATATATAGAAAATATATAATTGATAAGAACTAACCTGTAGATCTATAGCATAATGGTTAGTGCTTCACAGATTAGATTACAAGATATCAGTTCAACCCTAGGTGAAAGCAATTGAATAAAATAAATAGGTATCCAGCACCATAACTTGTCAAGTGTTATTTCTCAATACAAGCCAATTCACATGCAGATTCCATAGACAATGAAATTGTAACTATTAATAAAAAGGTATTGTGGTGCGATGATCATCTGGTTGGTGATATGACAATTGCTGAAAATAGCAAAAAAAAGTGTAAGGTTACTGGTTCCAATATGAAAAGACAAAAAAGAATTGATGATCGTTTCCCTATGGGTATGAAAAGTGTCCTTCTATAAAAAGCCCCACTTCAATCCAGTAATATATCGGCTTGCTAGTTACTTATTCCAAAAAGGCAAGCCAGAAAAGCAAAAAGTCCTTGGCCATGCATAGATAACTAAATAAGAAGATGGTAATTACAGATAGAAATGAAATTAGTGTCAAACAAAGAAATGAAATAGGTAATGCTTGTGTAAGCAAGCAGGATGGCAGATTATATCTGGATAGTTTAGGCTTGTGAGTAAGTTCTAATTAATATGTGGTTAATATAGTATAGATTTAGACATAGCACATATGTAATAAACTATTTATATTAATAAAACTAGAACATTGTCTCGCTTTAGCAGTTTAAAAAAAAAAAAATTGATAAAAACTTAAATTTTTCAAATTATATGAATTAAATATTAATTTATTAAATTATTTATTTAAACTATATTAGAAAAAAAATTTAAAACTAAAATATTATTTAGATAGCTATATAACAAATTATGCAATTTAATAACAAATAAATAAAAAGAAAAAAAAAAAAGTTAAATATATAGTGGCACCTGTCTATTTGTATAAAGTTGGGACCATAGTGAAATTTTTATAAAAATATGTATTTAGTTAGGTTATGCATATATACATCAGATTTTATAAGAGTTCTATAAGTTAGGACTGGGCAAAAAATATGCATTTGTATGTTTTTTCCATAGAATATGCAAATAAACAATATGCAATAGACAGGTGCCACTATATATTGCTATTTAATAAATAACTTTTTATATTATAACTTTAGCTTATATAACTAGAAAAATAAAAATAAAATAATATAAATGTTTACTTTTTAATAAATATTTTAAAATTGTAATTTTTAATTAGTACAAATTATTAAATTTAAGGATTTTATAGATTAAATAAGATGTAACTTTAAAATTTTCCAGTAAATATTTCAAAGGATTTAATTGGCTTAAGTTATTAAATCTAGAAACAAAACTGCTAAGCAGAATATAATTCTTATATATTTGATAAGCTATTAATATTTCTATAATTATATTATATATTAATATTTATATTATTGTTTTTTCAAAATTATTTATTTAATATTAATATATAATAAGTTGCTATTAGTTATTATTATTATTATTATTATTATTATTGTTAATAATATTATTATGATAATAAATAATATAATTTTAGTAAAATATGATTGATTGAAATATTGTATTAATTTTTTAATATAATTAAATTAATTTTGGTTTTTTTTATAAAAAAAAGAAAAGTATATTTATATATATAAGTAAAAAAGATGTTAAATCAATAATATTTTTTTATATAGTCTTTATTTACAAGGTATTTAGTTTTGAAAAATTTAATCAAGAATCTTATTTTTATTTAAATATAAAAGAATTTTTTTGTGTTAGTTTTAATAAAAATAACTCTTTGTTTTGAAGAAAAAGAATTAATTTTTTATTTAATAAATCTATATATTTTAATCTTTTATATATAATATTTAGAACTATTTAATCTAAATTTTTTAAATTATAACAAGAAAAAAACAATCAATAGATTTTCCCAAAAAAGATTTTTATTTTCAATAGTAATAAAAAACATGAAAAAAAAATTTTTTAAAAAGAGTAATTTGATAAGAGTTTTCAATTTTTGTTTTGTTAAAGTTTTTTAAAAAGAAAAGTTTTTAAAAATTAAAATAAATAAAAAAACTTTTATTAATAATATATTTTTATCTCTTTTGAAAATTTTTAACAAAATAATCAAATATTCTTAAAAAGATAATATATTTAAGTAGTTTAGTTTAAAAGTTTTTATTTAAGTTTAATTGTTAATTATTTTTAAAATTAAATTATAAAAATTACTTTTTTATTAAAATTAAACTTTATAAAAAAAAATATTTTAAATTTTACAATATTTTTTAATAGAATATCTATTTGGAATATTTTATTTATAAATATATATTTTACTTAAAAGTATAGATATTTTAAAGTAAAAAACAATAATTTTTTTTTTAAAAAAAAAAATACGTAATTTAAATACAGTATATTTCGTTATGTATATTTTAGCCAAATTAAAGTATATAATATGAATATGATATTTTTTAATTTGTTAATATATAACAAACAAATAAAAATTCTTTTATTCGATTTTATACTTACTCATTTATTCCTTTTTTTTATTTATTTATTTATTTTGTTTCTGTTACTATCTTCTTTTTGTTATTCCCGGTATGGATTTATAATGCGTGTTTAGTATCTCATCAGGACAAATTCAAAAACCGGTATTAGATAGGTTCTTTGAAAAAAAAAATGAGGGGTATGGAAATGATAAGAATTAGTTATATATAAATTTAGGTTAGAACCAACAGAATTGCTGTATGCAATTTATCCCCGTGCCACAAAAAAAAAAAAAAAAAAAAATTATATTAGTTAACCAATTAAAAAAAACTAGATTTTAACATAATCGATCTTGCTGATCCCGCGAATGACGCTACACGTTCGCGTACGTTATCGTGTTTGATGACAACCGCACAAGAGAATTCGGACAAAAAACAAAGTACAAAAAATGCGGTTACTCTGGCTGCGCCTGCCGCGATAGCAAGATCATTCACATTACAAGCTCTTTCCTTATTTTATCGAACTCCGATAAAAGTAAAGCCTTTTACACTGAACTTCTTTTATTACTACAGAATTTCTAAACAATTTCGTAATTGTTAGCTTTTCAGGCCATTAAGAGTCGATTATTTAGTAATGGCTAGAGCTATTATGCCTCCTCCTTCAGAAAGTAGAACAAAAAATTTATTCCATAAGACTAGCCTTGGTATAATATCTAATGCGGTGAAACATCATGGGGTAAGTTTTACCTTTATTTGTTTCTCTTCAACTTTTTTTGTTCTGCCACTAAGTAATTTAGATTATTTTTAGTTTTCATTCATACCTCGTCATATCCTACCACCTTTGGTAGCAAATTCGGTAATAGGCGCTGTCCTTTTTACGTTTTATATTTCTATTCTTTCCAAAATTAATGGTACCTCGTCTTTTGATACACAAAATCACATTCCGCCTCCATTCCCGGTCGTATTTTTCTCTGGAGCTATAGCAGGTGCGGCTCAATCTCTAGTAGCTGCACCACTAGACTCATTGAAGGTCAGATTCGAAGTCAACGATCTGTTGGAAGGAAAGCATAAAAATATGTATGATTATGCAAAGACAACATTAAAAGAATTGGGTTTGGCGAGTATATATCGAGGAGTTGGCTTGACGTTGATTAAGGTTAGCTGATTCATAATTTTTAAAACACTTGTATTGAAATAACTACGATGCGATTAATTATTTAAACAGGACTCATTATCTTGTGGACTATTTTTTGGGATGTTTGAATTTGTTAAGCAACAATCATCAGGACATGACCAACATATAAAGAGAATAGATTCCCACCTCGTTGATCCTGCTTTTGTACTTGCTGCTGGAGGTATAGCTGCAGTGTCATACCATTTGGTTGACTATCCACTTGATAGGGTTCGGAATGTGTTTTTAATTGAGGAAGCGCAATCCGAATATCAGCATGAGAAAAAACCTAAATTATATAAAGTCACATGGGAACAATGTAAAATGAGAGCTCGAAGAATTGGGTGGTTTAAATTCTTATATGGTGATTTTGGAGCAGCCGTATTAAGGGCTGTTCCTGCGACCAGCGTAGGATTCTTAGTATTTGAACTAATGAAGAGAAAAATTGATTAAACCATTTAATCAAATGGTGAGCTGGAAGTAGTCCCTAAATGTCAGATTTTCTTCAAAGTTCATTGTTATCAACCAAAAATTTTAAAATAAAACATAAATACTTGTAACTTATTTCCATTGTATATACAGAAGTACCATAATTCACAATAGATTTTATTTGAACAAACGTTTTTTCTTTTAAGGCTCACTCTCAAATTATATAAACAAAAGTCGAAAAAAAACAAACAAAAATACAGATAGAAAAGGTAATTCAGTCATAATCGCTCGAATCTAGGGACGTATAGGACCACGCAATGGGAAGATGAACTACAATCGAAAGGTGCATTGTGTTCATTAACTAAAGACTCGAATGACAGACTGATAAAAAAAGATATAAATAAAATAAATTATAAAATAAATGAAAAATGATATAAAATGCTATAAAATTATAAGAGTAATTTTAGTGAATAAAGGTAAATATATGTTTGAAAGAGCTAGATAACAAAAAAAAGTAATTTTTTTTTTTATTAAGTCTACGCGAGAATATAGAACAAATGTGCTTTAAAAAAATATGTGCAGAAAAGAAAAACGATAACAAGTATATACAAAAGATGGGAGTGAGATATGAAAAGCATTATTATTGGTGGGACCCAAGGTTAACAAGGAATCCTGTTAGACACAACCTACAATCTTACTACCACTTCCAACTGAAAGTGCCCGGCGCCTACCGCCTTCAGAGATGCGTAACAAAATAGCTGCCTTAGAAGCCTTTGACAAAGGAGGGGATTGGGTTAAATCATCGTATGAACTTCCACTAACTTGAATTTCAGGAACAGCGTCAACCAATCTGCGTTGAATGTTAGTGGCTTGATGAAGTGCGGGTCGCGATGGATACGGTTGGGACTGGTGATGATGGCGTTTGCTTGGAGAGAAATGTGAATCCATTGGCAACGGATTGTGAGCACGAGTGATTGGAGAGGAGCCAAAAAGCAAATGAGAATTTTCAACTGCAAGTTTCACTGGACGTGGTGCTGGATGTTGCCTCATTTGTTCAATATTAATGGCCCCCACATAGGATTGTTCGTTTTCATCAGCAAATTCTTCGTCATCCTGATCAATTCTCGTCACAGGGGAAGTAGAATGCGTACGATGAGCACGGTCTGGTGAAGTTGACTGAGAGACTGGACGACTGGAACCACGACTTGAATTGCCCATGATCTCCATGAGTTCAGCGCAAGCAAGAGCCTCATCGGACCTGACATATTTAATCAATTGAAAAATTTATCAATCAATAAATTTATCAGAGATAGAATAAACTAATGAAATCAGAAATTAGAAATGAACACATACATTGTCTCTTGCGGGCCAACAGCAGTATCAAACGTTGCGGGATCATCTTCAATATCCTCCTGCACAGCAGACAGCCCCCAAGGGTTCTCGAAAGGTGATAAAACTGAAGTGAAGTTATTTAAAAAGTTTCCAGAATAGGCGTACGAGACCTTCTTGGGGAAAGGGGCGACGATGCAAGGCAGATTATACACTTGATCGTTGGATGGAGAGACAGCGGAATACATATGAGGAATAGCCTCCGTGCTTGAAGACTTTTCAAATGAAGCGGGAGAAGACCGCGGAGGGATGTTGTTTAAATTTTCTGTACAAGTGCGGTCGTATGGATGAATGGAGTGGGTTTGAGTATAAAACAAAGTCATGTTTTTTGTCAACAAGGTCTTTTTGAAGAAAGTCTATTCTGAATATAAACAAGATTTGAAAAGAAAGTTGAATGAATATATTTATAATGAAATATGTGTATTTTTTTTTTTGAAATTTTTTTTTTCGTCCAATATTAATAATGACAGTGAAATATAGATACAAAAGAGAAAATATGTATATTTATGGATAGGGGGAGTATGTATAAGAAAAAAAAGTGACGGAAGTCTATCAATGTAATTAATTATATATATATACCACAAAAAAAAGTTTATTTTGCAGACCAGTTGACAAAGGGAGACAATGAGCTGTTATTATTATTTGACACAAGGAGGAAATTTCGTCCAAGCGATTTATCATGGGCGAAAAGTCTCGCAAAAGAATAAGAGGGTGAAATAAGGGGATGAAAAGAAATCAGTGAGACGGAGGAATGCAGGGAGAACAGAAAGGCGTAAGAAGACAAGGTCACTATTAAATATAGAATTAAACGCGGGTTTCTTATTGGTGACATTTTCAAAGGTGTGATTGGCTAAAGTTGTGAAACAATGCTTTTTTTAATTTAACTTCGTTGATTTTGCTGACGTTAACATCGTGTGCTTTCTTTTCTTTTACGAATAAGTAGAATACGTAATATCAATATCAATGTGCGTGGTAAACAGTTTTATCGATACGCTGAATTCCATAAAAGTACACATTCAAAAAAAGAATCTTCTATTCACGTGATAATTACGCATTATTTCCTTAGTAAGTTAACACAATAGTTCGGACGCAGCTAAAGTTTTTGCGATTGTTCGGATGATTCTTGTTATGGAGTTCCTATCCGATTTAATAAAATTTACGCAACAGTTTACGTTTCATATAAAAAATTGTATGAAAGACTATGTTCAAGTGCGAGAGATCGTTTGTTTTTTTTTTATACGAAAAAAAAAATGAATATACTTTTACGGAATTTCATACGTTCGATCACGATCCATTATTGAAAACAATATAGCATAATGCAAATTATTACTCTCTTATAAGATACAAATTTCTAAATAAATATACAGTATGTATGATTATTTTATCCTTAAGATATTTAAATATTTTCATATAAAAATTATTTATTCTTTTTATAAAATTAATTCTAGAAAATTTTTCAAAATAAATATTCAAATTTTAATATTTATCATTATTACCATCATACCTTTTTTAAAAAAATTTAATTCAATATTACGCATTTTTTAAATTGGAATTAATAAAGTTAAACAAAATATTCACCGATTATCAATAATAAATAATAAAATGTGTCTCTATACTTTTAATCAATTTAATATAAAAAATCATTATAATTATATTATTATAATTATTACTATTTAATAAATTTTTTATTATTAATATATAACAAATTAATTTATTTTTTAATAAATAAATATTATTCTTTTATTGATTTGTATATTATAAAATATATATTATGAAAAAAACTATATTTTTTATATGTAAATTCAATAAGTTAAATGCTAATTTGCTTATGATAATTGAATAATTAATAATAAAAAAATTTCTTAAACAATATATTTTATCAAATTATATTAAATAATTATAAATATATTTAAAATAAAAGATAAAAATCAAAATATATAGAAAATAGCTTGAAAATATATTTAAATAATTATAATTATAATATCATTTTTTAAATTATAAGATATTTTTTTATAATATTTAAGATTTTTTATTAAAAAATTGTTATTTTTTTATTTTTTTAAATAATCAAAATGTTTTTTTATAACTTTTTATATTAGCTTTAATTATATATTATCTATTGATAATATTTATTTTTATTTATTTAATAAAAATTTAAAGTTTAATTATAAGCAAATTTTTAATTTTTAAAATATTTTTTTTAATAAAAGTTAAATTTAAACAAATTTAAAATTTTTTAAAAAAAAATTATATAATTAAATAAGCAATTTTGTAGAATTATTTGTAAAGAATAACTTTAATTATTATAATTCTAATAGTTTGGTTATAAAAATTTAAACTTGTATTAAAAATAAAATAATTTTTTTACTTTAAACTATATATGTTGCTGAAATTTATAGATCCTTAACGCAATTGACACAATTATTTGATACAATTAATTGAGTCACTATTAAAACATATAAATAATTGAGTCATGACACAATTATTTTTGAGAATTTTGGGAATTGAGTCAATAGAAAATAATTTATACTACATATATACTTTAAACATATATTAAAATTTATATTAAAATTATAAAAATAATTATAAAAATAGACCTGTGAGTCTATAGTATAGTGGTTAATATTTCACAGGTCAGATCACAAGATACCGGTTCAATCCCAAGTGAAAGTGATTGAATAAAACCTATATGGTATTTGGCACCATAATCTGTTATGTGTTGTTTCTCATATAAAGCCGTTTCATATGCTAATCTAATGGGCATTGAGATTGTGATCTCCAGAAAAGATGTAGTGGTGCAATTATTATCCATTTGATGCTATAATGATTATTGGCAAGCAAGAATATGATACAGTTTGGATATACAGGCTGGGTTGTATTCCATATAATCACTCTAGCAAGATCACTCCTCTACTATTGATTATCAAAGTAAAAAAAACCTTGAAGATGAACATTGAACCGACACTAACGTCTTGTATAACATGGCTTCCCAGCAGGTGATGTATATAAAAGTTGCGCACTGCTTGACATTTGTGCCCCTAGATTTGGTAACTTATGCTAACTGATCCCGAACTAATTTGTCTGCTAGGAGATTAAGAAAAACTGGGAGTCTTATAGTATAGCCTGAGAGTCCTTAAGGAGTGGTGTCCCATTTGGCTAAATATGGCTCCTAGATTTGGTAGCTCTAACCAACCAGCAGTCAAAGGACACATTATATTGTGATGTTAATTCAGAGCATTTACTAGGAAGTGCATATATTGACAAACCTAAGATTGGGCTTCTCTGCCACATTAGCTATATGAACAAAAAGGTGTAAAGTGATAGGTTAATTATGTAGGTCATTAATAATTCCTATTTGCCCTTATACAAGTTGAACCGATAGGTTAAGTGATTTAAAAACTAGTGATAGGATTTCTACCCCCTAGATAAGTCCCTCTAAAAATATGTGATCTACTTCAAGAGTGACTAGTATATCTTTGGATATCAAAAAAAGTAGATAGGCTAGCATTTAGCTGTTACAATGTAATAGAGGATGTTTGATATACCCAAATTGAAGTAATTCAATAAAAACCTACATCTAATACCATTTTACTAAAAAAAAAAATAATAATAATAAAAATAATAATAATTATAAAAATAATAAAATAATAAAATAAATAAAAATAAAAAATAAGCTAAAAAAAAAAAAAAACTTTTTCTTCTTTCTCTCAATTTTTTGAAAAACTTTTTTTTTGAGAAATTTTAATAAGACAAAAAAAAAAGAGCTTGTTGAGTTAATTTTTTTTCAAAAAAACTTTTTCCTTTTCTTTACTACTATCAAAAATAAAAACTTTTTTTTAGAGATAACTTCTGATTATTCTCTTGCTAAAAATTTAAGAAGTTTAGATAGAATAGTTCTAGGTATTACATATAAAAGATCAAATTCTAAGCTTATTGGATAAAAAACTAGTTTCTCTTTTTCAAAATAAAAAGTTAGTTTTATCAAAATTAACACAATAAATTTACCACACTTCAAGTCCTGCTATATATAAGCTAATTTTAAGAATTTGATTGAAAAGACTCAAGCTATATAAGAATAGGACTCTTGATCAGATTTATCAAAACTTGAATATCTTAATAATGAAGATTGCATAGAGAAAGACCTTTGATTTGATTTTTTTTTTCATTTATATATGTAAATATAAAAAAAATGAAATTAGTTTATCTTCTTCAAAAGATTAACAAATCCTTTTGTATCAATCACATTTTATAAAAATCATATTATTTATTTTTTTTTTCTAGTAGATAAACATCATTTCTTTATTTGATTTGTATATTTAAAAAGTATATATTATAAAAGAAACAATATCTTTTATATACAATAGTAGCAAGTTTAATGTTAGCTTGTCTATACTATCTATACCTAGCTAATATCGAAAAAGAAATTTTAAAACAATATTGTATATTAAATATAGCTAAGGGTAGCAGCTATGCTTACTTACTTGGAAAATTTGATAAGACATAAGAATAAAATAAAAAATAAAAAAAAGAATATAACTAGGGCTACAATTACATGAACTATTTGTATTGAAACTATGTCGATTAAACTATAAAATCTATATAAACAAAAGAATATCTAAAAGAAAATCAATAGTCTGATTCTTGCACTAGCACTAGGCTTAGAGATATACTTTTTGTTGATATGAATAGTAGAGTATGATTGACATTATTTATTGTTATAATAATTATTATTGTTGTTGTTATTATTGTTATACTAAGAAACCAGTTTAAACTAGTTCGGTTTTTGTTTTGTTATTTTGACGAAATCTAATTGGATAATTGGAAAGTGACTATTATTTGAAGGGATAAACTGATTTCAGTTTTTTGGACAAAAAGTTTTAAAAATTTTGAGATAGCACAGTAAATGTCACTATAATAGGATTGTATGTAAAGGTTGTATTAAAACAAACAGTAGACCCAATAACTCTGTTTAAGTATGTTTTTTGGAAAGTATTTAACTTAGCGTATATAATGGTATTGATGTGGATGGTTTTTATGTTATAATAAATGAAAGAAAGAGTACAAGAAAACAAAAGAAAAAAAAGACCTATGGGTCTATAGCACAGTGGTAATGCTTCATAGGTTACCAGGAAAAGGTCTAGGGTTTAAACCCACCTGGTTACAAAAATTTATTACCTTCATAATTGGTTGACCGGCTTTTAATACATGTCATATCCAATCAGCCAAAAATTATTTACTAAATCAAGCTAAGCTGTATGAAGATAGGACCTCTGGTTTTTTTGACGATCGCAGGCTAAAAACAGGTCAAAGCAGGAAAGGTTAT